AACATTTTCAAATTTTTGAATCTCTGCTTAATACGGGGCGTAAAGAACAAGGTAAATATGCCAAAGTTGAAACTTATGGAGACTAACGTAAACGTTGATCTTCGTTTGCGGAATACAAAAATCAATAAATGAACTCTATTTTTACTACAGAAATCTTTCGCGATACCGAGTGTTCTAATTCATCCGTGACGCTGTTGGTATGTCATTTAATGGAATGAGTTTAGGAAGTCAATAGTTCCTGTTCGAAGGATAGTAGTTCTTCTTTGAAGGGCAGCCTGTTTTGTACTGAAAGAAGACACGATTTAATGTCCATTTTAGAAATATAGAGACGATCCGGTGGACAGAACGGATACTTTCAATGAACCTCGCCGAATACTGATTGTTTTTCGTCAAAAAGAGCCCGTGAACTTTTAATGAAAGGTGGAAGCTCATCAATAAGTTATGCACGCGTGCACATTGCTCTTTGAAGTGCCGCTCTTCAGGCTTTTAACCTCGCTCAATACAATTCGAGGAGTTGAACGGTCGAGGGAACCACGATACGAACGCCCAGAAATTTCCGATAAGGCGGTTCTCAAGCGTTTTAGTGGCAATACGTGATACTAGTTATAATGGCTAGACTCGAGATGAATGAATAACTGCATATTTGTGAAGCGGAAACAGCGTCCCAGAAACGTGAACGAACTGGGGAGTCGATTCGAAAACTCCTCGATAACTTTATTTGACTCTTAATCGCTGACAAGAAAGTTGTGCTGTATTTTGAAATAAAAATTTAAAACGCAAGAAAGAGAGAGAAAGCTAACTATAAGAAAAAGTGAAATGGAGATAGTATAATAAGAGTCGTTGAAGTATAGTATAGGGTTGTCAGCGCCATCTGATGAAGCGAACCTTAGGTGGAAGGCGAAATATTGGCTGCCGATAAAGTAGATTTCTTAGAAAACATTATGGTATTCATGAGGTATAAGAAAGTGTAGGAGATAATATGCTTAGACAAAGTACTGAAAGGACCTTTCAGCTAGTGTTAGTTTCTATTATATGATTTGGGGTTGTTAAAACTAGGACTACAGTAGGTGTAGTAGGGCTCTCATGATCGTGGAATATATTCTTCTATTGGATACTAGGTATATTTCATACCCGGTCTGTGGTACAGGATATACTGGTAGTTTATTGGGTGTTGGCAATACGCAAACTGAAATATCGACCTTGTAAAATATTACTAAAGTCACTTGAATCGCTAAATATAGAAATTACCGACAACTGGAAACTATTTTTGGTTGGCAGAAGTGATACAAACTAACTTTCACCTATATTATGTATTAGCATCCTATGTACAGGCCTATGAACTCGCAAAGAGCTCATGGTCAATTCAATAAATAATAATACTAATAATAATAGCATTTGCGTTCAAGTACGTTCGAACTGTTCCTTTCTTTCGGGTTGCTCGCTTGTTTCGAACATGTATAATATACACGTTGACTGTTTACGTTAGAGGTTAGAGTATGATTTTTATAACAATAACTATATACATACTCAGGGAGACTTAAATTTGCGTCCGTATATCGTTGACAACAAATATATTGTTACACCGATCGAAAGTCGAATGTATTCGGTGATTTGAACCGTTTCATAATTTAAACGAAAAGATTAGAGAAACGATGTCAAAGATATGTATTCCTCGAACGTTTTCGTTTCGAATATGATGTGTGAGGTTATGATGTTAATTTAAACAAGATTATCCTATCGGTGTATCGATACACGATTATTTGTGAAGGAATCTCGTAATTTGGTTCTAATATCCAATAGGAAGGAATGGTTTCCACTCGAGGACCGAAATTCAAATTCTGTGATGGTGAAAAAGTTCTTTGTTATGAACCTGATCCTACAAAAGCGAAAGTACTTTACGATTCAAAGGTATGTCACAAGAAGACAAGAGTAAACTAGAATAAATATAATTCTTATTAGCATTAAGTAAATACTTAATTCTTGCTTGTAGTAGATTATAAAGACAGCGCATAATTTACAAACTGTGCGTTGATGTTGAATGACTTGTGTAAACTTTTAGTTTGAATCTATTTACTAGGTACTTGATGTCATAGTTAACAAGGATCAAAGAGGAAGAAAAGCTGTTGAATATTTAATACATTTCCAGGTAACTAATAAATTACCACTTATTTTATGTTATGTGTATTATTAATTCATACAATAACAGGGATGGAATTCTTCATGGGATCGTTGCGTAACAGAGGAATATGTATTGAAAGACACGGAAGAAAATCGTCAACTCCAAAGAGATTTAGCACAAAAAGCACAGTTACAGTTGTATGTATTCCATTGCAAGTTTCTTTCAATTACATGAAAAGAAGTTTATAAAACTAATTGAAGAGAATGAAATTTATAATTCATTTGTAAATAGGGGTGCTTATCTGTACCGTCGAGAACGTAAGAAAAGAAGCCACAAACTGTCTGAACGATTACATGAACATGAAAACCAAGAGCCACGACGAAGAGCGAGAAGCGGTGGCAGTCGAGCGACATCCGCGACAACTGGGTCATCAGAAGATGGCAGTTCAGGACAGCATGCAGATTATGACACAGAGGTCTTATTATTTTCATATGTACAAGAGCCATATGTAATTAAGAGTACTTACAAATTCATGAACTGCTGAATTGTACAAAATTTAAATAGATGTAGTTTTTCTTATTGATAAAGGAAGTTATTACCGAAGAGGATACTGAAAGTAGTTCGGACTATGTTGGTGAAACGAGCGATGATGAAGATAGTGGTGGCGGTAGTCAATCCGGTGCCAGTGTTAAACCAGGAATTGATCTTGATATAGGTACCATGCTGAAACGAATCCTGGACCAAGATCACGACCTAATAACCAAGAAAAATAAGGTATCCTTTCTGTTAAATACTATTCTAATATTCTGTATACTATTATTCTGCACAAGTTTTACTTATATTTTTTATATTTAAATGCGTCGTTGGAATAAGAAACACATGTGTTTCAGCTAGCTGTTCTACCCTCGCAACCTACCGTTGCGAGTATTTTAGAGTCATGGGTACAACACTTTACGACATCACAACTGACTAATATTCCAGAAAAACCTCAAAGGAACAAAACAAATAATACTATAGAAAAAACAGTTAATGAAATAAACATATGCAGAGAAGTTGCAGATGGATTACGCATATACTTCGATTTTACGTTACACGATCTTCTTCTATATAGGCAAGAACGAGAACAATACTGTAGTATAAAGTCTTCTTTCTTGTATACCGAACATTCAGCGCTTGTAAAAGAAGAACCGGTCGAGTAAGTATAGTACTCTCACTTTCATCATCAACTTTACAAAAGTTCTAGGTTCCTACAATGAAATATTGTTTATTTTTTATTCTAAAAATTATTAAATATTTAAGGAATTCGGAAGTATTAGTCAAAGAAGAATACGAGGACACCGAATACGCTCATTTACCACCATTTCAAGAACACGATCCAGAAGTAGATGGTGCATCGAAGACACTAACAAATTCAAAACGAAGGTTAAGGTCATGCAGAGTGAGTTCTATTGATGAAAATAGACAATTGAGATCATATGATGAAGTGAAACAAGATACAGGAAATATGTCGAGGTAAACATAAACTGACCATTTCACCGTGAGCTGTAATGAAAAGATTGAATTATCAATACTCTTCTTTTTTTTTTTTTTGTAGTATTGCAAGTACAAGTTCTCGTTGTTCTAGCCCACGTGGTATAACATTAAGAATACCGGTTGTTACATCTGCTCAAGTCAGCGCCTTGCTTCAGCAATCGAATAAATGGAGATTAATGCCTGAATCTTCAAAATCTGAAGATCTTCTAAGTCCCTCCACCTACTATGGTGCCATTCACTTAACTCGATTATTTGGTATGTAAACATTTCTAAACAAAAGATTTATATAAATCAATGAATGTAACCGAATGATATATTTTTTCAATTTTTAGTTAGACTTCCAGATTTACTCCAGTCAGCAGACATACCAAATAAAAAATTAAAAATTCTTTTAAAATATTTGGATATGTTTCTCAGGTAAACTCTGTTGATATAGGTTTTTTTTTTTTTTAAATTTTTCATAATCCTCAATTTTTAATGTTATAGTTACTTAGAGATGCATAGAGAATGGTTTGGAGAACAGTTTTACATGCAGGTGGAAAATCAACTAATGTCTCAAGCAAGTAATTCTTAACATGGTAGTGACAGTATATGTACTTCCTCTGTATTCGATTACGAATGCGATTGTGTATAAATTATGCGAGTACTGTGTGTGTTGTACAGAAAGAATGTATGTTTGTGAAATCATTATAAGTGATAAATTCTTTTTTTATATTAATTAACAAATAGTATTTTGCATACCTTCCACAATAAAATTCCCTATAGTCCATTTTTGTCCAAACTACGATTGGTACAGTTACTTTTATAATAAACGTCAGAGAAAAATAAATTTCATGATAAGGGACGATATCGAATACTGATGAAATAATTACTACAAATCATATTGTACCTGAATGTGTTACATTTGAAAATATACTTTTGTAACTGGATTTGTGAGCTCATGGTTTTATTTGTAATAAATACAATAGAATATATATAAATATTAATAGATTATTAGAATTCGTCTCATTAGGCGAAGTATTGGAGCATTTTATATCGAAAACATGATAAAAAGTTAAAAATAAAAACTGGCATTGAACACGATTGGCGCAATCATGTCCCCAATATGTATACATAGAATGCTCCTAATTTCCCATTACTTCCTTAAATTTTATTTATTATCGAAGAGCAATTACTGTCATTAATGATTCAATAATTCTTTCTAACAGTAAACTATCGATTCATATATATTTCTATAAGTATAGAAATATATCGTGATGATAAAAAAAAACAAGACTTGGTAATTTTCCCTTCACGCGGCACGAATCCGTGTCAGCAAGTGTACTCGTATTAGCAGTGGGTTTACTGATAGGTATCAGCTGTTCTGGTAAATAAAAAAACTACACTTCGATATGGACGTCGTCGATTATGTGTCAGAAAATCAGGAAGATAGCGAGGAAGACACTGTTATGTCGGAAGATAAAAGCGATTGTCTATCGGAAACGTACGATGAAAACGAAAGGTGGTGTTACATGCCGGATTCGATTCTCCTCAATATCTTTCAATATCTGACACCAAGGGAATTGACAATTGCTGGAGAAGCATGCAGGTCATGGCACAGAGTATCTTGCGACGAATTTCTTTGGAAAGATTTGTTCTATCAGACGTATAAAATAGATCCGGATGTCGGCATCATGCCAGGTTAACTTTATTGCAAAAGTAACAAGGAACAAAGATAATGTATTTGGTTGGCGCATATAAAATGTCGTTTCGTCTGTAAAATATTAAAAACATACATCAATCTAAATGATTTCGTTACACTTTTCAATGGTTCACTAGCTACAGTTTAAAATCTGAAAGTCTAGAGCTTAAAACCTTTATCGAATGTTATTCCTTATGTGTTTACATGGTCTTCCACTTGGTTCAGTTTCCAATTTTATAACACTAGCTCTGTATTTTACAAACTGTTATTTACTAATCCAATACTTTTGAATATCTGTAAAACGACATTTAATAAACACTGATCTAATATATAATTAACAATCATTATTGATACTAAAATTCATCTGTAAATTCCTTATATTTTACATTTGACAATATAATTTAGATATCATTGTATTTCGTAGGGAAAACTTCTTGGTTAGGAGAATTCAAACGTTTAACATATCATATACCGCTTTTAGAAACAGAGGTACTTAAAGGACATTCTCATCAAGTATTACACGTTAGTTTTTCGCACAATGGGAAAATGTTTGCCACATGTTCAAAAGATGGATATATTTTTGTGAGTCACTTTTATTTACTACTCTATAGTCTCTAATTTTAAAAACATAAAACTAGTTGTATAATTCGTTCTAGGTTTGGGAAAGCCAGTACCCTGTTAAAATAAAATATCTTCACGATATGAAAACATTTAGTTGGGAATATACACAATTTTCACAGTTTAATTCTTCTGATACTTTGTTACTTGTTTCTGGTGTACATTTTGGGACTCCACATAGCACTTCAGGCGAAATAGCAGTATTTAGATTGGCACGTAAGAGAAAAAATAAATTGCTCAATATATTAAAATGAATGATAAAAGATATATTACAAATAGGTACTTGATTTCATTTGTTCCAGCTGGCTTCGATCTCCAATGTAGAGTAGTAAATAAACCTTATGACATATTTGGTACATGGTATAGTGAGCATTATCTTTTAAGCGGTAATCTGTGTTGGTTGGCACATTTAGTTACCACTAGCCTCCTTTGGCTCAATAAAGCAAATCAAGAGTCATCTAGTGAACATATACCCATTATGACACAACTTTTTAGGTATCACACATTATAGATGAGTTTTCTGTAGTAAAAAAATCATTTTTTAACCATAAATGTTTATATTTCAGGTTTTATAATGGAAATGCTTCGTCTATTCGAGCAATTATGGTGGCTAATTGTCTAACACCTGAACAGAATGAATCTGAAGAGCAGGAGAGTCAGCCTTCTTCATCTAATGTTAAGGAAGGAAAAGGCAATCCACCAAGCCATAAAGACATTTCATCTTGTAATGACACTGCTCAAGATGAAGAACCAGTTGTTCTTCGACATGCATCGTCTAGATTACAGTAAGCTACTTTTATGTAATGCAATAACAATACATACAACAAACGTTTACATAACTTGCTTGCATTAATCAAATTATATATAGATGCAGTACATTAGAAGGTATATTCATGAATTGGAAAAAACTTGGCGATGGTTTTGAATATGCGAATCCCATTCAATACAATCAAGAATACAGGCAAGTAGAAATGGAAAAAAATGTTCAGGAAAATGACAGAGAAAGTGAAAATTCTCAGTGGGATGAAGAAAATGAGTCAGAAGGTAAAGGAAGCTTCCTGTAAGTTAAGTTGTTGCATAAATTTCATTGTAATATTTCATTTGCAGAATCGTCAAATGCGGAAGAAGGCGATACTGATGAACTAGTAAACAACTGTGAAAAGTACCTTATTTTCACAACTGGATCTAAAACTTATACACCTCATCAAGTGGGTTTCAAGAGAATAAAAAATTTGAAGTTTCCAACAAGGCTGGATCCAGGACCGTCATTACGCGAAAGATTAGCACAAAGAGAAAGGGAACGAGAAAGGCAAAATCCCTATGCTAATTATTTGGACTACGAATCTGTAGCTGATAAATTTGATAAAGTAGACCATGTAATAGATTTACATGGACACATTATAGGAATGGGACTTTCTCCTGATCATAGGTCAATTACCTATATTGCAAATGTAAATAAAATATTCACGTTTCTTCATTTCTGTAATATCGTGTCATACATGTTTCCAGGTACCTATACGTAAACACAAGGCCATGGCCTCGAGGTTACGTTATTACAAATCCACTACAACCTCCGCCGATAGCTCAAGAAATCGACATACACGTAATTGATTTGGTAACGTTAAAGCAAGTTGGCACTATGTTAAGAGCTCACAAAGCTTACACGCCAAATAATGAATGTTTCTTCATATTTCTTGATGTTTGCGACGAATATGTTGCAAGGTAATTAACATTAACATTATAATCTACTATACTCTTTTTTTTTTTTTAAACTAGTTTCATCTTAATCTTCATGATTTATTAGCGGAGCTGAAGATAAACATGGCTATCTGTGGGACAGACACTACGGAGTATGCTTAGCTAAGGTACCTCATTCTGACGTTGTTAATTCTGTTGCTTTCAATCCACGTGATCCTGAAATGCTAGTTACGACTAGCGATGATTATACCGTTAAAGTTTGGCGTAGTAGAGCTATGGTACGTGCATTGGGTTTAAATGAAGATTCCTTTCCTAGAGGTATGGAAGTACGAAATAGGTGTAAGTATCGTAAAACCGGTTGTAATGTTGATTGACTAAAGACCATTAAATTTCCAATCTAAAGTTTTTGAAGGTATATTAAATTTCTATACCTACAACTTGTACTCAGTAGCGTAACTAAAAGGTGACGAAAGAGGTGGTCTGGTTTGGGTAGCACTTTTTTTAGGAGCAGTACTTTTGATCTACTCTATTAGAGAACAAGTTTTTTTTTCATTGGATGATGAATGAAATTGAATTTTGAAACTCTTCAGAGTTAGTGACTGCTGCCTCATTGCTAACTAATTCTTGGTAGTGTGATGTCCTAAATTTTGCTCTAGTAAATGCTGTATGTTTTGATGAAGATGTTAACGTTAAAGGTTGTCCAGGATGACACAAAAACTAACTACGCTACTGCTTGTACTTAAATTTGTAATATAATAGATTTCTATGAAATCATATAAAGTTACAAATTCTATTTTCGATTAAATTAATATAAAGAATGAGTGCGATTATATATTCACAGGTGTTGACATATACATGTTTGCATATTCAATGTTTTAATAACTAGAACACATCTTTCATTATAGGGCACAAGATTCAACTTTCAGTAATTCAGAAAAAATTTATTCTTTTATGTAACATTGTTTATTACAGTTAAAATACTTATATCTTGTTTAATAATTTAATAGGCGCATACAAAAACAGTTGAATTTCGCGAGGCTGATTCTTTTTTTTGTGTGAGTTTATTCTTTTCCATCCCGCTATCATAGTTCGTATGTACTTAAGAATTAGAACTTGCGAAGATAAGTTGTATATTTCTAAACATTTATAAGGCATAAAAGTGAGAATTTTTTAAATATTTTTATGGCATAATTGACAACATTTTCTCTTTGTGTAACTCTTTTGACTGATATTTGTAAACTAATCTAGAATAAGTTTTGATGGTACTTACACATGTATTTGTAATGTAAATTAAATCGGTAATTATCATTCTTAGACTTTGTACGATGTTAAAATTTACACAGAATATAAAACTAAAATGTGTTCCGTGTTTTGGCACAATAATTTCAGACGTTATTTCTATAGGGAAAGAAAAGAGAAACTCTTATTAATAGGTATAGTGTATCATCAGAATTGTACAAATTACTATTCTATTGTAATTAGACGAATTCAAATTAAGGAACTATGCTTTAAATTAGAATTATATAAATGTTCTAATATCCACTATAAATGTAATATAATGTTATTCAAAATAACGTTCTTTATTGATAAGAAAATATACGTAAGCAAATATTACTGTAGTAGAATGTAAAATGAATAAAAAAAAAAACAATTTCTTGTTACTAGTATTTAACAATATACCTATCAAAGCAGTATTTAGGATTACAATGTAAAGACAGCAGATAAATAAAATATAATACGAAATTATACAGAAATTGTTAAAATTTACATTAGAAATATTTTGTTTTAATGTATTTGAATTCTTTAACAACCTTTTTTAATACTTACAATAATGTAAAATTTCTTAGATAACTTTTATACATTCAAAATGGCTAAGATATAATATCCATGCTCTTTATCATAGGAACTATGAGTATTTCTACTAATCATACCAAAAAGATGTATGTTTATATACATTTAGAATTGTTTAATAACCACTAATTATTATTAATAGTTATAAATCATCTAAATCAATATACTATGCATACATTACACAATGTAACAACAGTTGACCTTACAAGTTATAGAAGTCTATATTTTCTTATCTTTCTTTTTAATAATAATGATATGTCCTACCAATATTCTTTTTATCGAGAATATAAATACCGCAAATCTGACTGGTAGTACTTATGTAAAGATCTCAATCCCGATATTATGTTTGTATTAAAAATTGTAATATATCCATTGGTAATTCACTCTGAAAATTAAAATTTAATATCATACTTCTTATTAAACATTCTATGCAGAAAAAAATAATGTGAATATTGGATTGCATACCTATTCTCCATCTCTTAAATAACATCGACACAAGAAATATATAAATAACGCCTCCTTCATTTGGAAAAAGTGCGACACGAGTGTATTTATGTAGATGCTTTTACTATTGATTCTGTAAAAAGATATACAAACATTTTAAGAATGCAAGTATTAAAACTCATTTTAGTCTTAGATCAAGTTTGATATGTTTATATGTAATGTTTTGTGTTTAATTACTGATCTTTTTAATAACAGAATTTCTACCATAATAATAACATTATGGATCGTGTTAATACGAGGAATAAAAATGAAACTAATTTTCTAAGACTAAAATGACTTTTATTTCATTTATTAATTTAGGTATACTTTTATACATTATTCAAATTATATACATAGTATCTCCTGACATACTGCTCTTATTCATCAAAATTACCAGAACTAGGAGGAATCCCTTCTTCTTTAGAAGTCTCTGCATTGTGCGGCATAATTTTTTTATGAATATCCTTGTGTCCATGACAATGTTCACATTCGTCGTCGCTATCTTCGGAACTACTTTCACCAAAAGTCCGTGGTTTTTCATAAATGCAGCAACCTAAAATATTACATAGACTGTATGTAAATAATAAACCAAAAAAATGATTATATTGAAAATGAACTGTTGAATTTATATATGTATATCATACTAAGTTATATTGAATGAAAGTTTACATTTAGACTTCTTTTTATTCATATGTTCATTATCCACAGTACCCTGAGTCCACTGGACCTTTTTATTAGGTTTTGGTTTTCTGAGTCGTAATCGAACAGTTGGTACATCCTGAAAACATAAAAAATAGCAACATAACTACTGTCTTTTATATTCATAAGTTAATGAGTGACATTGTAATGAACTACATATATATGTTTAAAAAAATATTTATTCACTTTCTAACTGGATATATAAATTATTTCTTAATATAATAAGTACATGTAATAAAATTGTTCTGTAACAAAATTATGTTTCATTAATATTTATATCTATGATATATATAATTCTTAATTTATTGATAAGGTTTATATTGTAAGTAATATACTTCTTGGAAATAATATTTTCTATTGCACAACATTAGTTTTCTTCAACATTTGTACTTTATTGTCAGAATAATTTAAAATATTTCTTAATATTTCTTCGGTATGTTGCCCCAACATAGGAGGTGCTAATCTAACTTTGTTTGAAGCATAACTATAGGTTACAGGAGGGCCAACAACTTTTATTTTCTTCCCTGTGGAATGTTCCATTTCTTGTACCATTTTTGTGTGCTTCACATGAGGATCATCGAATACCTATAAAATTTCTTTGTGTAGATTCCAAGCCAGTGAGATATAGGAACGCCACTGAGTTTCAGTTGGACTAAAATTTATTAACTAAACATTTATTAATCTATACCTGTCCTAATGTATTTATCGGACCATAGGGAAATGAAGATCCATTGAATACGACTGCCCATTCTTTGTTACTTTTTTTTTTAAATTCTCTTCTAAGAATTTGTAACAATTCATCTCTGTTTTCCACTCTAGCAGTATTATTTTTAAATTTATCATTTTCAAACAAATCTGGTAACTCCATTCTTTTAATTAGTTCTACAAATTGTGCATTACTTCCTGTTCCAACAGTCATATATCCATCTTTTGTTGGAAAGGCTTCATAAGGTACGATACTTTCATGTTCAGAACCCCATCTTACTGCTTCTTTCTTAGCATTTATATAATTCGAACCAATATTTATTAAGCTGGCAACTTGGGTTGCTAATAAATTACATTGAATCCATTGTCCCTTATTGGTTCTTGTTCTTTGATATAATGCTGTTACTATAGCTCCATGAGCATATAAACCTGTTGCTAAATCAGTTACTGCTACTCCAACTTTACACGGAGGACCATCTTTTGGACCCGTTATATGCATCAAACCTCCTACAGAAGCAGCAATCACATCGTATCCTGGTCTATTTGCATAAGGACCTTCGTATCCATATCCAGTCAAAGAACAATATATAAGATGCGGTGCTACCTTGGAAATGTCTTCGTATCCTAAAGCCAGCTGTTTCAACTTTCCAGGAACATAATTCTCTATCAAAACATCAGACTTCTTTGCTAGTTCATAAATTATATCTTTACCTCTTTTCAAGTCAATACATATACTCTTCTTGTTTCTATTAACACTAAGAAAATAAGTTGATTCTTGTGTTCCCTCAATAAATGGTGGTCCCCACTTTCGTGCTTCATCCCCACTACCTGGTCTTTCAATTTTCAAGATCTCAGCACCGAGATCACCAAGAATCATGGTACAATAGGGTCCAGCGACAATTCGTGTTAAGTCCAGAACACGGATACCAGCCAAAGGTGACCTACAATCTTCGACAGTTGTACAGAAATTTCTTTGATTCTTGATACTACACCCACTTAACAAAGGTCTTGTTTTTATTATACACTCTGATAAGAAAGCAATCATGACGTGTAATTTATATGCTTTCAATACACAACAATTGTTTTTATTTTCACAAGTAACTCGGTATTACTTCCACAAAACCACAAAATTTTCGTTCAATTACACGACAATTGATAACTCAATTCACCACGAAACTTCAAAAAGCTTTGATGCAACACCTTGTACAAACAGTTTCGCGTAATCTTTCATAAATATCGGAAAACAAAAAAAGCAAATTTGCCTCAAATATTTACTGTCGTATCAAAATAATGACGTAGTCGTGATCGAGCATACCTGAGATCCAGAATCAGTGACATCCGTCTCTAAAACAGTTTCCGTCTGTATTTGGGTAGCTGATTGTTCAGACATCATTGATCTATCCATTTGGAATCCGTCTTCTTCGTGTAAGTATGATAAAGCTACATATGATTGTTTCACTGTAATACAATATTGTTGGTTATTTCATACTGTCATCATTCGTAATCTGATAAAAACGACGCCATGTTTGAAATTGGTACGACGAGACCGGCACTGAACTTGACACTCTTGACAGTACTAGACAGAGATGTAAGCACCGCTAGCGAAGAAACGATTCTCAATCGAGCACCGCATGGGCGTAAAGTAGATGCGCAGGAAAGTATTTTATTATCGAGTGTTGGACAATGCAGGAATGCAAGCGTGAATGGGTCACGAACATAGGAATATAGGAACCGGATATAACAGAACCCGGAGTGAAGCCTTGTCGGCCATCTTGCGTTGCTCTTTTACACCGGGAAGTTTAAATAGGACTATAATTGACAATATGGTTGTATGTTTGAAAATAATTTTTTATTATAGTTTATCACGCGATTTATGAAACTCTCTTCTTCCTTGGGTTTAGAGCCTTATTTTTGTAAAATCTGGCGATCCCTTTACGTGCACAGGAACACATTGGCGAACCTGGGGCCGACACTGACCCCGTGACGGAGATCTAAATATCTCGGAGTGAGGGTCCGCGGGCGGAAAATCACAGAAATGATTTCCGAGACGCTCAGGCTAACCTAGGGGTAAATTTTCCTTAGCGAAAATGTTGTCTGAGGTTTCGTTGAGAAGATATTAACGGAAAACACTGACCAATCAGAGCGCGCGTATAACGTTGGAGCGGCCGCGGTAGCGAAGGCTATGTTCTAAACGGCCGCGCTTGTACGCGAACAAGCGACTCGACGTGCATCGAAAGACATTGACGCGGCCGCTCAGCGCGTAGCCATCGCTACGCGGCCGCTCCAACGGTATACGCGCGTTCTGATTGGTCAGGGTTTTCTCTTAATATCTCCTTAACGAAGCGCCATCCGACATTTTTGCAAAGGAAAAAGTTGTTTCAAATCACCTCCCGAACCACCCCTTTTCTAGGTATTACAACATTTTTGGGACACCCTGTATTACGGCTTTGGATCGCGGGGTGATTACTCGAGTGCCGGCTGTCTCGACTGGACGGAGATTTCCACCTCGCTCTTGCGACTTGTGTTGTTTTTGAACAATTGTGTATTGTGGAATTTATTAAATCTGGTAATAACATTTTGAGTTCCTGAACAGTTTTTTGTCTTGTGAAATAACACCAATCTTGAGTCACGATTTTGGTCAATTTCTGTGCTAATATACCGACCGCGGCGTGTAAAGATAGATTTGCTAGTTGGTCGATAGGTCGGCGCCATTGTCGTAAACGTGGCGCGGCACGCGCTGCGTCAGTATTCCGCGAGCTTCCATCGTGTTCTGTTGGAGTTTATCGTTGAGGAAGGAAAACCGCGTTCCGTTCGTTCGTGAAACTACGGTGTAGGATAAAAAGAGTGGCTTTCCCCCGATAGCTACGGAAGAACGTATTCGAGGATGGCGGACGACAGTCACGAGAACGGCACCAGCAACGGCGACGTGCCCGAGATCGAGCTGATCATCAAGGTGAGTCTGGCACGCGTGGAGAGCGAAGACGAGGAGAGAGATAGGGAAAAAGGCGATCGTTCCTGTGCACGATATGGGCGTGGAACGTGGAACGAACCTGGGACCTGGGACTTGGACTGGTCTCGTTTCTTCCTTGCACTCTCTTCTTCCTCTCGACGTGTCTTCTTCTTTCGGTCATCACCAGCGCCGCCGAAAGGACAAATTCCCAGTGACAAAGACAACCCGCGCGCAGAGATGAGCAAAACTCTACTCGAATAACAGATAACGAATAAAACCAATCCGTAACTATTCATTCGTGACGTTTCATCGTTGAATATTTCATCCTACCATTTCAAATTTAACTTTTGTTCAACGAGTCGGAAAGCTGTTTATCTTCTATTCGAAAGTTTTGCTCATCTCTGTCCATGCGTGCATCATGTCCACCGTTTCAACAATAGCGGAGCTGCTTTAGGTGACCATTTGCTCGACCGTTAGACAGTGACCGGCGATATTCTTATCTAGACGAATATTTCGATTAACGAATGAGAGATAAACCCCTTTGATCCGTTACTCGTTAAATGCGAATTGGATATTCGAATTGTGGAATGAAATATTTCGCGATTAACCTTTTGACTGCCGAATAACTTCAAGCGAGACGCACGCTGTTGCGGAAGACTTTTTCACGCGTTGGGCATATGTACGCGTTCAACGCTCATGGGCGTTTACCGCACTTGGTCAATTGGTAAACTAAAACTGTATAAGTCAGAAGCTTAATTGTATTAATAGATAGATAATAATTCGACCGTTGAAACGAATAAATCGTTATATGTTGGCCTTCTTCGGTATTTGACATACCGAGGGTCATAGTGATTTAAATGAACTAAAAAGTAGAGCTATATGTATTATCACTTAATATCAATTTTGTATTTACACCACAGGGTGCAATTAAATTTCTAAATTTAATTCAATTCTTAAACTTGTACAATTTTATACAAAATAAGCTGACAAATATTAGTTTCTATTTTAATAAGGAAAGGAATATTGCAATTACTATTGCATCTTGTGAAAATATTAAATCCTATTCTTTTCTTTCTTTCTCTGCCACTCGTTAACTATTCAAATGAGATTTCGTTCATTTTCTGCCGTTCAAGGTCCAAGTCGTATCCCCCAGCTGTCTTTTGATTCCGTTTCCCCGTTTTCATGGTCTCGTTTTCGATCGATTCGCCGATCGATCGAACACAAGAGACGTCGATGTACGAGCCGGACTTTGTCTTAGGGAGACATGATGGCGAATTGTGTTTACTGGGGAGAGCCTTTCTTCACATTTGTCGATGACTAATTGCAAGCATAACAACATTACCGAACACACGGAAACTTTTTTCGCGAAGAGGAAAGCCGACGTAGTGCGGAGATAGATATACATATATTATACACACGCGTGCATACCTGGATTCTGCTAAGCCGCGTTATTCTACGTCATTGGCCTCCGCTTACATGAAGGAAACCCTCGACTCTTATCTCGCGCGATACGTTCAGCTACGTTAATGCTTCTTTCCTTTTTCGGTCGAGCGCTTGTCATCGCTTGATTCGTTGCTGACTCCTCTCCGTATTCGACTGTTTCCTTCTGACGTCACCATTTTATTTCATTTATTTATTTAAGGTAGTTGTAACGAGATGGTCACGTTCAAAAATATAGTTAAAAACTTCTGTAAAAGTGCACTCTTACTGCTCCCACACACGTCTATAATAAATCAATTGTATATCTACACATGCATGCATTAACGTTATTCAAATGTCTTTCGTGATTTTTTTACACAGAGTAATTTACTTAAATTGATTGAATTTGAGAACATTTTAGAAAACGTTGATAATATTCAGAAAATACGAGTCGGTCAATGACGACGACGCATTTGCGCGTCTATATATTAATTTAACGAGATTAGAACCATTTATACATAGTTAAGCGGCGAGGATAAGGAAATAAGCGCGCCGTAAGGTTGCGCCAGTGTCTTCGTCGCCGATGCTAAAACCGTCTTCAACGGAAACTAAACTTTTTTTTTTTTTTATAGAAATCGAGAAACGACACCGGAATTAATTTCTTGACTAGTGAAACATAATTATTATAATCTTAGATACCTTGACATAATATTTTTTATAAATAAGAAATTCTTTGTTCTGTTATGTGTGGATTGCGGATTTTTATGCCTTTATAGAAAGTTTGAATGTGCAAGAAATGTACATCGCATCAACGAGATGTGATGTTATCGTGTAAGCTCTGAGAACAATGTGAAAAGTTTCGTAGAAAAGCAGCTATCAGAATTGCAGTAATAACGTTGATTAACCATCAAAGAAAATTACTTTGAGTAATTTTCAACAAGTTTCGAATGTCGTTTAAAAGATAAACGTTTGTCGAGGGATTAACACTTTGTGGTTAAAAACTGTCCCACATTTCGCTTACCTTTATTATTCTATTTCAAATGTTTCATTCAGTTGGCAATCCTATGAAAACTGTATGTTGAATGAGTAAAAACAGTCAGTGGATTATCGATACCAATTTTTGTGCAGCTTTGTGTAGTGAAAAACATACTTTAAACAATGATATCGTTCCAATTGTTTAATTCATATTCAAGCCACGTAAATATAGTAAACGTATATCAAGGACGTTTGGAAACGATTAGTCCATCATTCCCACGAATTGAACAATATTGTTTCAAATAAAAACACCCTATCTCAAATATTTCTTGTGAAATAAATTGAAGAAATTACCGAATGCACTTTAAAATGTACCTAAAATATTTTCAAATTCAAACAAAGAATTAAGTAAACTATCAAGTAACTATTGAAGTGGTTACGATGGATCGTTAATAGCTCGTGGCGAACGACGATTACATTAATCATTAATCGACTGTTCACGATTGATGGTTCCTTTTAATTTAATTTTGTATTTAACGCGAATCCTTCACGGATCAATTAAAATTCAATTAAAATGGTAATAATAACCTAACTTTGATGAAATGAATTGTTTATTTCACTGATGTTATATTATCCATATTGAAGGTTACAAATTTAAAGGTTAAAGTTAGTTGTGCGAATAAAATTTGTCCTATCTCTGTCGTCACAGATTCGTGGCGATAGATTCGACCGAAGGTAAACTCGATCCGGGTTCCGAGAAGGCTCTTTCACCGTGCGTTTCCTGGGAAACTGCTCCTTAAAGGGAAAGAGGCTTCCCTCGATTGTCCAATTATGCGTTTGCCGATTAAACTTTCGCCAATCGGACGATCGACTCGACCCGTTTCGCTTGTGTCGCTCCTAATCGAACTAAAGCCGTTGGACGCATTGTCAGACGCTAATCTTATCGCGTTACTGCTCGATACCGACAAATCCAAAAGAATACGATATTCCAAGCCAAGAATATTCTTCGTAAACACTCCTGTTATAGTCCACGCTTGAATCGCGTATGCAGGTGGATTTATTCGTCTGCATTTTAATACTTGTGTGTCAGTTACGAGTTACAAGGAAACAGTATTAACACTAAACCTAAACCAACGTTCATTCGAAATTATTCCTACCTTGACGGAACAAATAGTCTTAAAAGAGGTTATACCACTTTCGTCGTTACGAAAAATCGAGTTTTTTTCTTAAAGTACTCCATATATACGAAAATGATATGTCGTTAATTAAAGATCGGTATCGAAAGTGTAGGGGCAGTTTTGAGCTCTAGAAGTAGAGGCGTGCAATCAGCGTAACAGAAACGTTAAACGCGTTTTTCTCGAAACAGCATTTTCAAAATCGGCGAGCACTCTCTATCCTCGGGAATTTTCAATCGATCGACTTGAATCTCTCTTTATGTAATCATCATATGTTCTTCAAGTGAAATACAAAGGCTCTTTTTTTAATTATATTAATATTTGTATTTTTTATGCAATTTTAAGTACTGTAATTTGAGTCTTTTGTATGTTATAATTTGGAGCGATGTAACTTTATTAAAAATGTATATTTTTAATAACGGCTATGTATTTCACTATCTTTTGGAGTAAGAAAATTAATTCATTTTGTTTCTATATTCGTATATAAAATTATATTCGTTTAAAATGGAACGCATTTTTATTTGAATATTCCTATTAACTTGTGGTATTCAACAAGTAGCGAATCTATAGCTTATCTTTCATTCGTTATGCGAAATTTGTATCCAGGTAATGATACTACCTATTTCTGTGCCATCTATTGTTTGATGAATTCAGTGGATTTCGAACACCTTTTATGGTTGTAAATAATAATTGGCCGCGTGTAGTCTGTTCCGTGTTCCTGATTGTCACGCTTCGAATACCGCTGTATTTCTTTAATTGCGTATCAAACGGCCATTTTACATCATCTCGTACTCCGAGGTGAACCTCTTAAGGCAAACCTCTTAATTTTCATACCTTTTCAATTTTGCATACACAAAACACACTATAAATACATGTATTCGATTCGTATAATATATTTATATTTTAAGCACTCGAATTTGAATTTGAGCATTTGAATTATGTTTTAAATAGCAGCACGATTTTTTCCGATGCCTAATAACAGTATCAACACGTTTGCTGCCAGTATAGAACTCGTGAAAATTTCTACCAAATTCAAATTTGTTCTCGAGACTGTTAAAGATTAGATAATCGCAGATTCGTCGTTGTATTTAATTTTTTAACCTATTTAATTCGCAAATCCTACCCAAGCGTATTTTCATTGTTATTTCACGTTTGGAATTAATATTTTTTTAGTTCTTTAGTGAAAAGTCCTGTCAGCCATTTCTGGGTGACGCGGCGACTATCTCTGTTAAAGCGATGTGTAGGTTAAAATTGTACTCGTTAAATTTTAATTGCAACGTGCCCGTTAAGCTTGTGGTTGTGCAACTGTCAAACGCGGTATCAAAGAGCAGATGCAAAGCGAGCCCAATTGGGGACGTTAAGGGAAGGGAAGGGACGGCGAGTAAGAAGAGGAAGGGGGAAAATAGCCGATGTTTACGCAGCAAGGGGGAAAGAAAGCCAGAAGAGCAAGGAAAGCGGAAGGCAAAGGAGTTCATCGTTTAACGGTAGAATCTCGAGGACCTCGGCTCGAGCTCCCCCGTCGTTTCATCCCGTTTGACACACTTACGGAGACCTCGTATGATCGCCTTCTGAGTGCAAGGTCGGCCAGTTACCATTAAATCTCGTGTAATGAATCTTCCCCTACTATCTCATGCTTTCGTAGGAATTCTACTTATACGGCACTCGGCGTTGCTACACCGCGTGTCAAAATTATACGAAAACTTGGATTTTGGTGGTTTTACTGTCTTGAAACAGTTTTTCATAGAAACCAATTGTACAACGGTACTCAAAGTGCCAAGAACCACTGGACGCAGAAGTGAACCTAATCCCAGTGTTATTTTTCATTCGTGATAAAATATAGTTTTAGGAGTTAAAACATTCCTCCAAAGAATCTTTGATATTTCATGTTGTTCTAATTTCGCTGGAACATGGGAGATTTGAAACAGTATAAAACTTTATATAGATTTTAATGGTCTATAACACTGTAACAAAATATTGAAAGAAACAATGGTTTATTTTACAGAAATTTTTCCCCGTCAATTTTTCTATTTCTATATTTTTTATCCCAACGGTAGAGAAGATTAACAAAAGATACAAGGAAAGTTGGTATCAGACAAAGAATTAATGAATTATTCGTCGATTAATAACTCTGGGTATTATATCCTCTTCTAATAACCCATAATGTATTTTTATTTTACTTTTCAATGTTAATAACTTCTTATATAGACAACACATCCGCATCTTTTACGAAGTTTTCAATATTAATGGCACAAAATTATATTGCTTCGGTAATATTAATCGTATTCCGAAAAATAGCCGAGTAGTGAATATTCATCGTTGGCATACGACGGTAACAGGAAAAGTATCGTGTAACCTAACCGCCTGTGGTTAGAAAAAATCGATCGAATGTTGTGTTGTGGCTTAATCCTCTTTAAGGTCATTAACAAGCGGCTGCCACGAGAGACGAAACGATGTTCGTGAGTTCTCTAGGAGGCTATGAAGCGATTTTCCGAGAGTCGAGTAAAAAGAAAAGGTGCAATACTTTTAAGTAGAAATACTCTACTTGCGTTATGAAACTGTATTCATCACTTTATACCACTGATATCACTGTATGCGCGCATATTTATCATACTTATTTACCGCATGCGGTTGAGCATTGTACAGAAATTTGTGTAATGACGCATGTCCAATCTGCATTATTTCCTTCTCTCTCGTTTCGTCAAAACTGACCACCTCTGGAATATTATTACGAACGACGAACTACATTATCTCACCATTATCGTTAAAGCTAAATTGAATATAGTCATAATATCCTCTATATAATTATACTATATATTTATTCAGGCGTCTTTTAGTACTACTCGTTTTCTAGAATTACACCTAAAAATAATAAATGTCCTGTACCTGCATTTAAACGATAATCAGAGTGCAGTAAATATAGTTTATTTATTAGAACGAGAGTTTACAATCATTTAATTTGTCAAAAGTCTTTCTTTAAATAATTTCGTATATTCAGCGATTATACTATTAGCGTTTATATATACATGTAACGATATCAACTATTACCATAATACTATTCAAAATATAATCAGTCGATCGAATAGAAACAATTATGAATGAATTTCAATAAATTATTCCTTTCTTTTTTCCGATAAATTATACGTTTCTTTATCGTATAGATTAAAATTAGTTGATACTCGCAACAAAAAGCATGCCTTTAGTTAAAAATATTATTCTTTTGGTCAAATACGTAAAGAACCAAGATATTATTTCAACTCGTTGCTTCTCATTTGGTTCTGTTCGCAAGTTTCGTTCTTTCTTTTTTTTACCCTGCACACGCTTATTCGAACGGCGTGTGCGTTGCGGGCGAGCTGCAAAGTTTCGAAAACCGTTTTATGTTTCTTCTGAAACTGTACCTCGGTCAGGTTAAAACGAGAAACCCATGTGTAGGTGCGCTGGCGCACGGAGAAATGCTTATTTCAGAAGAAATCAGGAATTTGCTTCGGTCAACTGCCAGCCACGCATCTGTATTTGTCTTGCATGCATTTAACAGCGGTTTCTGCTTTGTTGGATCAGAAAGAAAAAAATATACATGTCGAATTGAGTAACCACCTCCTTTTCGAAGTCGGTTAAAAATAACCAATATTTCCAATTTTTCGTTCTCCTAAAGCGTTGGTAATGAAGATTGTCTCAATGCTAGTCACAGTTTTCGTTAGAACCAAAAAATTGACTTGCACTTAGAAAAATGGCCGCCGTGAAGAAATATCAGTGACGCTATCTACAATCGAATTGATACCTCCATCTTCTGCCACCCTCAGAACCACACAACTTTTACCTGAAACATTTTTTTGCTAAAAAATGTCCAAGCTAAAATAGGACAACCCTGTACATGATCCACGATTAATCGTTAAACTGGACGCGTTGAATCACGACAAAGACCGTGAACGTCGATGGTAAACGAATTTGCGAGCTTTCGCAAGAGAGAAAGGAAGGCGATAGAGGCGAGCGCGTGGAGCGCGAGATCACTTGCGTTCGAAGATGAAAGACGTTCGAACGTCTTCGTGACATTTGATCCACCGTCTCGGCGCTTTTCGCGCGACGATGATATTTGATGACACGGATACCTTTGCCGATTTCCAAAGTCGATTGAACCAAGCGAGACGAAAGTACACTGCATTGCAATCCACGTGCCTTTGGCAACCTTCGGCATCGATCTCTGTCAACATATTCCTTACAAATCGGTAACAATTAATAATTCTTTGAAATAGTAGTCGAATCTTTGCGATCTCCATGCATGTATTTAATACATTTAAATATTCAATACATATATGTATAATAATTAAATGCGCTTCAATTAATACCTAACCAAGACCCAATCGTTTCAGTAATGTACCTACATACTGTTGCTCTAATTTTTTTTTAACGGAACAACCATCTTATTACGTTATAATTTATGCTTGTATTCAAATGAGCGTACAATAAATCAGACGGCATGGAGAGTACATTTTTCTCAGCCTCTCATCCACGACTCTTTTTATCATTCGGAGAAATGTATAAATAGCACTTTAAGCGAGAGTAATCTTCCCACGTTTATTCTATTGATACGACTTCGCAGCCACGGTGCTCGCATAATTTGTCGCGCGTCGCATACTAGCAATTAATCATCCTCGGTCCGTCACACATCGTATTCGAAAAACATACACGGAACTGACCAAGCACAAAATTGTCGCGATCTGGCCTTGACCAAAAAGTCGTCGGGCTTGGCACAACAGAAACATACTTGTTTCACTTGGTTATGACTTGGTCTCGCATCGCTCTTCAAACTTGGAGGTCACGTTTACGTCACTGAAAACAAAATAATCGTCACTGAGAATACCACGCTACTCCCAAATCGCTTCCAAACCAGACACGAGCAAACTTCTTACTTGTATAAGCATTTATTGACCCTTTGACTGCGTGACGATTTTTGCTCGAAATTCTAAGAGACCTAAGAGGTGTGAATTTAAAGAAAAATATCAGCTGATAGGAGATGATAAGACGGGACACTCTTATATTTACAGTATATTCATACGACGATTAGTTTCGGAGATAAAAGTTGAAAACTTAGAAGATCTTTTTCTTGAAATTCAATTTTTCCAACGTACTTCTAGCTTTTCAATTTTCATTTTCGAAACTAATCGTTCCAAGAATAAACCGTATGTATGAACAAGTTTCGTTTTATTGGAATTAAATTTCACTTATTTCTGGTCGATGTTATTTTAAAAAATTGATATTCATTTTCTCTGAGTTGTACTCAAACTAATTTAAAAAAAGTGACATGACAATTTTTCTCTGTTAAAAGAATCGCGAAGAACACTTAATATGTATGTAAGTCCTAACTGGTCGAACACGAAACGGTATCTGTTTTCTCCAGTTGATCGAGCAAGCTTGGACTATCTGGAGTACTCGCTCCGCTCTCATTTTCCCGATGTCACGGTTTATTTATTCCCCTCGATGACGCACCGTGCTTTCTTTTTCACTGGAAAAGAGACATACGCGTTTTCCTGTGTCGTATCGTCGTGAAAAGAAAGGGTTTAACCGATTAACCCTCCAGTGGGCGCGCTCTCGGCAATTTGCTGCTACTTTCCTTTTATATTATAGGCAAAAATACGTTGACCGCCGAGGAATGAATGCCAGAACTTTTCATTAAGGAATGGACAATAGTTAACGACAATTGTATTAATTAGCGACATACCGTTTTCGTATATATGTGTACAGGCAGTACTTTAAGGCAAAGAAGATCAATTTTTTGAAACGACTAAAGTGGCGTAACTCTGCCTAGGAGAATTTAAAACACACAAATCTTTAAGAATCGTTTGAAGAGAAACTTTTAAATTTTGTTTTGCGAACATTTTTCTATCGCCATAAGCATACTTCGATGAAGCTCGAGTATTGGTGCAATACGAGTAAATTGAATCTCGGCAACACGCCAGCTTCCACCGAGAACGTCGTTTCTATTTTCATTCCGTTTCAACAATCTCCTTTAACCCAACCACGAAAGCTTTTTTCTCTAAATTTAGTTAAGAAAAATGAATGTCCTTTTTTTTTTTTTTTAAATGAGTTTTCGTTGTGGTTTGGAAATTATTTGTACCTTACAACTAGACTGCGGATATTTACGCAAATTTATATTTTTTTTCAGATACACATTAATCCAAATTTGAACGAAAATATGTTTTAATTTCCCGACAGTGTATCGTGTATTTTATTGTTGATTCCTTGGTGAGACTTTTTTTATGCTGTCCCTTTTCACCGCATAAAAAAGATTTGCTTTAATACCGAATGAAAAATTATTTATTATAGCTATTTATGAAATTTCTAATTTTTTTTTTTTTCACCAACGACCAATGTGTTAAATAATAACAAGTTTGAATAATTAGACGTCGTCGTTATGTTCACAGGCATCCACCATCGATGGCCGACGAAAAGGCGCCTGCCTCTTCTGCCAAGAGTACTTTATGGATCTCTACCTTCTCGCCGAGCTAAAAACTATCTCACTCAAGGTGACCACGGTCGACATGCAGAAACCACCGCCAGACTTCCGCACCAACTTCCAAGCGACTCCGCCGCCGATTTTAATCGACAACGGTGACGCGATATTGGAGAACGAGAAAATCGAACGGCACATCATGAAGAACATTCCCGGTGGACACAATCTCTTCGTGCAGGACAAAGAAGTGGCTACCCTCGTCGAAAACTTGTTCAGCGTACGTTAAGTACCGGAGCTGCTTCAACGAGAAACTTATTGTACTTTCTCTCGTTGTTGCTAGCTACACATTCTAAATTTACCGACTTTTTCAATTTATCGACAGTCTTTGTTTCTAATACAGAATGCGAAATGCAGTAAATATTAATAACGTATTGTGGAAAGAATAAGGTATTTTTTTCTTTGCACTTTATGAGTAAGCTAATTCTAACTCTTGATTTTATGCATTTGTGACATGTATGAAAATATGTATGACATCTGCAGAATTCTATCTTAAAAGAACCTTCACCATTTATATTTAACCATTACCTTCAACATACCCGTTATTAGTCTCTAATTGTATGTGATTTCTCTTTTCCAGAAACTAAAACTATTATTACTGAACGCGAAGGACAAGGATAAAGATCCGAAATCCTCGTCGCTAATGGCACATTTGCGCAAAATCGACGAGCATCTGGGCCGCAAAGGCACGCGGTTCCTCACAGGCGACACAATGTGTTGCTTCGACTGCGAGTTGATGCCGCGGCTCCAACACATTAGGGTTGCCGGCAAGTACTTCGCAGACTTTGAGATCCCAGAAACTTTGGTGCATCTGTGGCGGTATATGCATCACATGTACAGGCTGGATGCCTTTTTGCAAAGTTGCCCGGCCGACCAGGATATTATTAATCATTATAAGCTGCAACAGGTAAGACATTTCATTGAAAATCAAACAATAAGGCAATTAGTGTTACTAGCAATTGTCTAATTTTATTAAATGAATTCATTTTTATGGAAGCATCTCCATAATATAAATCTTATATGATCTAAAATGTGAAGCTATCTCAGAAAAAACCGAAAAAAATGCAAAAATCCGTATCTCGAAAACCTGTTCATAGAAAAAATTTTCATTGCAATTTTCGAGTTTAGCGGACCAAAATACATAAGAAAAAAAATAATGTAATTAGAGAAACGTAAACAAATTATTTTTGAAAAGAATCTACACAAAAGTTACATAATTGCTCGTAATATCAATTGTTTCATTCGGTTGATTTTCAGTTCGGTTTAATGAAATTTCTCTTATCGTTGCAGAGCATGAAAATGAAGAAACACGAAGAACTGGAAACTCCAACATTCACAACCAGTATCCCCATCGAGGTCAACGACGACTAGGCTGGACCTCTGCCGTCGGGTCTACGATCTCGTTACTTTGATTCAGAAAGATTATCGTCGGTATTCGGTGTGGACACGTACACGAACGCGAACACGAACGGTGTAAACACGACGGCGCAGTAAACGTTTTTACTATTAGTTCCAACGGACGTCTCCGTCTAGGAAGAATTCATTATTTATAAGAAGTACTCGGAATCACACGAGCATTCTATTAAAAATATTCCATCATTTCGATTCCGATTACGTCGACGCCGTTATACCGATTTATATAACACTTTTTGCTACGTATATTTGATAAACTATCGACTATTAAGGCTTTCAAAAATGACCTGTATATGCGTGTCCAGAGAACTATATGATTTCTTCCCATCAAATCCTTATCGTTCTACGTTGTTTTTCTTTCTTTACGCTACGTATCAATTTCGTTACGTAGTCTTTTGACTTGAGTAGCATTATTATTAGAAAAGGCATTTTAATCTTTTACATGTACTTTAGATCAAAACCTCGTATTTTTGTAAGAGGAAGTTTAGGTGTTTTTTTTCATCCATCTTCTTATGACGAGCAAAAGGGACGTATGCATTCGAATTAAAATTATCTACCGAATACGTTGATATATTATTTGTTATTTTTTTCTCTTTTTTTCTTAAAAACTGCAATTGTATTTAGCGTGCATTTCTATATTATAATCAATAAAACGACGCAATGCTTATTCTTTAAAGGCCCTGTATACATTTTCTTCGATTTCTTAGTTACACCACCCCATCTAAGCAGAAAGGAATAATCTAGTCTGATCTACTTCGTCTAATAATAAAATTTCTGAAAACATCTTTTCAAACATAATTTACAATAGGATTTAAAGAAGACCTGGTGCATACGTTTCTTCTAAGGTCTATGTTAAGTACGATACAAAGTTCTTAGTTAAATTCGTTTCATTGTTGTTCGTTTCGTTTAAAATTCTTAACTTTACAAATGGTCCTATGGCGAAGAGAAATTTAACAAGTAATTCTTCGGTGTTATGAACCACATTGTAAATGATGATTTTAAAGTGGAAGAACGATCGTCCCGAAAATAGTGCTTATTTCTATTAACGTAGTCCAACGATTTAACAAACTCGGTATTTCGTATTAGTGATTATATTATTATTATTATTATTATTATTATTATTATTATTATTATTATTGTCATAAATATTATTACTATTATTGTATTACTTTGGTTTATAGTCGTAGAAATGAATATACCAGTGTTTACAATAAACCTCGGGTTCGTTGATATCTCTATCCATCGCCCAGATTTATTTCCAAAAATTTCTCCGGTAATATTCACGAAATTATGCAGTGGAAGCTTGCGGCACGCGAAAAAGAATATATCTATCTCGACGACATCGCTATCCATTCGTTGGAGATTTAAAATAGCACGCGGTTTCCCCTTCCTCGTGACCACGACTATTACGACGCGTCTCCATTCATAAATAGGGAAGCACTTGTACAAGCGGCCATCTTGACTACGTTGTCTATCGAGTTTCTTTTATTTTGATCTTCAAAGAAGCATATTTTTGCGCAGATCTCCGTAGATATCCGAATGATAAATTAAAATGAAATAATCGCAACACGGTGAACTGATTTTATGAAATTTACATTACGTCCAAAAAAAAAATAGTTTTTCTGTTGACCATCGTGATTCAGTACGCAGTGCACAGCTGATCAGTGGCCACGACGGACGGTCTCATCGCTTGTTCGTGCTTTGAAACCTTCGAAAACGACAGAAAAGTTACTGTTAATCGCGTCACCGTACAGTGACAGTTGAAATTCGAATACTCGACAGGTGGGAAAAAGTTGCACCGTCTGCGAAAGTGTCTTCGTTAAGTGTTCGAAGTGTGCGTTACCGTTCCTCGTTCGTTGGACATTTCCAATGGTTGCCGTCCGGTGAGTTTCAACCACACGATTTGAAGCCGGGATTCTCTTCTATTTAAAGCAGTGGTGCGCAACCTTTTTCCCTAGTGAACCAAGGAAAATAAAATAAAATAATACTTTCCATGGGCCAGATTTCGAGGATAGGGGAAAAGTGAAATAATAAATATTTATGTTTAACGTAACATCGGATTTATTTTAAATTATATGTTGCATCAATCACGATATTCAAGCTGATTCTGATAATATGGATACAAACTATTTGAAACGTTCATTGGTGTAAAGTGAAGAATTTATTGATAAAGGAACCATCGAAAGTATCCTTTTCTCATAAAAAGAAACTTGTGTCATCTTACGTTTTTGAAATAGTAACGTATAACCAATTAAAAAGATAATAATATAGAATTGAAATGAAATTTAAAAATTGAAATAGTTTAATTTTTGTAATAATAATTTTTTCATATTTAAAATACTTGTCAGTAAAAAAGTTTGGTGAAATTTGCCTTACCAAAAAAAATAAAAAAACTATATTCAATATAAATGAAGAAAGAATATTTATCATATGATTTTATTTTAAATACTATTTAATAACTTCATGTAATTTCTAATTTAGATTAACACATGTTAGCATCCAGTTTTGTTTAAATAATTTTCCTATATATTCTTTTTCCTAATTTCCAAACATTTTTCATTTCTTCCCTCTGTTTATTATATTCTTTTCGCTTAAAGATGATTGTGCACATTATGTTGTCTAATATCTAAAAATCGAATCGAAAGGTGAATTGTACGAAAATGCTGGATTATCACTGATTGGCTTCCGCGATGTTTACTTAGCAGTCGATTCTGATGTTTCCTACGCGAAAAGAGTAACATTATTTTCAGAATAGTGTTTATTTTCGCCTCCGATCGTAACTTATTGTAGCTCTGCTCAACGTTAACGGGCCGCGTTCCTCGTCAATTATTATTCTTGGTTCCTTATTTTCGTTCGACATTAAACTCGACCAAAAGACGACCAAAGTAGTGTAACCCCTTAAGGATTAATAAGAAACGGTGAAAATTATTCCAAAAGAGTGAAAATACTCGTGGAATTGGGTTTTCCCTGCATTGCCAGGAGCAGACGAAAACAGCCACGCTGTGTCTCCTGGGTTATTTCATGACACAAATATCTTCCCGGCATGCTGGAATTCCGCTTTTCCTTTTTCGCCTGTCCGGACGAACGACACTCTCGTTCCTCTCTTAAAATCTCCTCTGTCACCGATAGAAGCATTCTGCGTGTTTCGTGCATTCAAATCTTTTTTTCCTTTTCATTCTTTATTCCGGAGCTTTGAACAGACACTGATTCATAACCGGGTAATATATTGACTCGACCGATTACGCTTCTGATGTTGGTTCATGCACGTGTTAGGCAAAATCTAATTTATTGCTTTAGGTCAGTGTTTCTTAAACTTCACCTTCGCTTCCTCTGGATCGAAGCTTGACACATTGACTGCAAGACAAATATTCTTGAAAATTTCTGTTAGAATTGAATATTAATTTAAACTATTGGAAACTACATATGAATGAAATACTTATTATGGCACTTATTTATGAAACTGCATCAAAATTCTAGAATTTCATTTAGATTCATTTTCTTTAATGCTGAATTTTCAGAATTAATTTTTTTAGTTCTTCAGTGAAAATCACTGTCATCCATAGATAGGTGATGTGGGAATAAACGTGTTAAATTATGGGTCGTCCAAAAATCTTTGAGGGTTGGAAAAATGTAAAAAATCATAAAATATTCTTTTTATTATTTTCAAAATATATTTGTATATTAATAATTAGACTGCAGATTTTATGCGTTTATGACGTAAAATGATATATAAAACAGAATGTACGTAATATATGATAAATATATATTGTACAATTATTGTAATAATATTGTTATTTCATTTTGCATAAGTGCATATACCTTTTGGCTATGTTTACCATGTGTTTATTATATTAATTTATATCATAAATGCATAAAATCCGCAGTCGGGTAATTATTAATATAGAGCAGTGGTGAAACTGTGACGATAAGCCTCAAAGTGCATTATTAATTATTATCAAGGGTGACCTTTTGGGATCATGCCGCTACCCAAACAACGGCGGATCAGCTGCTCCAAAAATCAATACATACAATCGAGGTTCGGTAGCCATCAAATTTTGCTTATTATTATCCTCCTTAGGAAATAGCGAGTCTTGCAAATTTCCCAGCAAGTCAATTCAGAATCGAAGATCTCCAGATGATTTGTAAATCAGTCTTAGAAAGCATCGACAAATCGACATCTACCTTGTTCGAGCTGTCGTTTTCGGCGAACCGGATGGTCTCGTAAACGACGACGCGTGCCAATAAACAGTTTTCTCTCTGATTGATGCTTCGCTCACCTGACACTCGCTACTGCCAGGTGCGAAGCAACGGGTGAAAGAGGGAAGCAAATTATTAATTTTACCTAGCGCTTTATTCTCTCCCGTGGCATTGCGCCAAATGCGAATTCCACGAGTACAGTTTCTAACCTCTTACTTATTGTTAGTTTCTTCCGACAAAGAAAATATGCTACGATGTTACTCGAGAGGTTTCGGTCGCATTGTATCTTCAAATACAGACCTACGTTACGTTTCAAAACGTGCGCAATGCAGCTGTTTATTCGATAGTAAGTTTTAATTTCGATTTAAGTTTCGAGTTTTGGTCGCTGAACGATTTGCAAGGAATCTATGAGGATATTACGTATAACAACTGGACTACCGATGTTCAATTGTTCGCGTATTGTACAATACGAAAATACACATCAGTCTGCCTTTGTCGCAGCAAAGTATGCACGGAATATATACGAAATGTATTTATTTATATATTATTTTATATATATATAAATGACAAACGACTAGATGACTTCGTCACAAAAAAAAAATATCAAATGAGAAAGAACCTTCCTCGGTATAAATATGACGTCTTCGCTCGAACTTTTTTGATTTTCAACGAATGTTTTATGAATAAAAATGTATATTAGCAATAGATAAGTCTATAACTGATGCAATAAAAAACAATTTAACAAATAATGTTACGAAATAAAACAAAAATTTTACAGACTTGGCGCACACGCAAGAGTTGGAGAGATTGAAAATCAAGTGACAGGATATCTTAGGACTAACTGATCGCGAACCGCCACCTGCTGCACTATACTTAATGATTCAATGTAATCAGTAAAATATATACATACAGTATATACAGTACAGGATACAGTAAAATCTCCGTATACGCACAAATTTGTCTAATCTGAATCTAATTTCACTTTACACTTTACACTTTACACTTTACACTTTACACTTTACACTTTACGCTTTACACTTTACACTTTACACTTTACGCTGGATTTTATTGGAACGCATCTCCCCGCGTTAAGCGGGGTCTTACTGTATTTACAAGTGTAAACGCAGTGTCAGCTCGCATTGAAATTTCCAGAGCCGACGTTCGATTCCGAAATCCATAATCAGCTTGCGAAACGAATCATCGCGCGATCTTGGAAAGGGCGTGGACGGTATATTAGATAATCCGACTGGATTTTCATAGATCATTCGACGAAACGGAGAGATTTATCGTAATTTTACGCAATTCACACACGCGAGTGCACCTGCAAACTCAGCGCGGACGCGTGGGAGCGTGGCACGCGCAGTGCCGGCTAATTATGTGGCACTCCTCGTGCCATGCGGCACAGGTGTCCACTGTTTCTTTACTCGGTGCCAATTTCGTAACCTACCGGGTGTTTCGGAGTTGTCGGCCTTTGAAATTTAGCCCAGACACGATACGAACATCTCGCATACGTACAGTGGTGTACCCAAGACAGTTTCCACAGCAATCAGTAAGAACAAAACAATATACACGAACACCCCTTTCAAGGAACTCCAACATTTTTGGGACATCCTGTGTACATGTATGTATATGTATGTATATTCGAAAATTTGTAGCCATACATTTTTACTTATTATTATTATTATTATTATTAATATTCTAACAGATTACAAATGTATTTGATAATTATAATCATTGGGAGACTACCATAATAAGCAAAATTTCATGGCTGCTAAAGTTCGTATCTATGCATTGCAATGACCATTAGGTTGAGACTCAGATTATGTGTACGGATGCATTGTAATAAAAATCATGTTGAGGATTTGGTATATTCGTACTTTAATGTAGTGAGATGACGAGTAAACGCATCTGTTTAAACTAGAGTTATAAAGGATTGAATATTAATTAATTTCTACGTAAAACAACATTGAAAATAGTCCTTATGACTGGCCAGTTTTTGATAGGTATCGCGAGGCACGTGCAGCGACCTTTGCTATAATTGCGAGCGCGTAAACGCGTACGATCGCCTACTAATGTTTCAATGGATCATCCGACAAGTCGGACGATTTGCCCCGGCAGGTTCCACGGTCCTCTCCTTTTCATTTTCTCACGACATTGTCTCCATTAATCGCGTCCTCCGTCCGTCCGTTCATCCGTGGTTGAATAATTTGAAACACTCACGCGGAACGACACGAAACCGCGCGAAACGTCATATTTGGAGGGTATCCAAATCGTTTATCCATTAAACCGCAAAAATGTCGACGATCTTGCCGGATTCCAGTGTTTCAACTCGAGATTCGTTCGTCTACGTTCGTCCTGGTGCAACCGAATCGTGGTACACGTATACATTACACACATTAACGTGACTTCATTAGCGGAGATCAATTAAGGACGTTGAAAATGAGGCGTTTTTTTTACGAATTTCTTAAGAATAATGTATTGAGTCGGTCTTTATGAAAGTTACAGGTTTTTTTTCTTTATTGGATGTTTAGCGATAATAAACAATTTTTTTACAATACAAAATTATACGTAAAAAGCCATGTGTACGTACAAGGTGTATGGTAAAAAGCCATATACAGGGTATATGTTTTTCTATCGCTAAAAGTAAGCGAATTATTCAGGCGGCCTGTTTTAAATGCCTCGCCCTGTATAGTCAAAGGCTTAGGGATATTGCAATTGGAAAGCACCCTGTATCGACGAATCGGACGAACCGATGTAACGAGAGAACCTGGCACTCGCAGGTAGGCCTTGCCAGGAGGATGGGGGCCCACGATGGGGGAGTGCCATTGCTCTAACATCGCTATCATGCAGCTGTTCCATGAGCTGAAGCAGCAGTTCCCTGCGCTCCCTGATCACGTCGTCTCCCAGTGCATTGCCCAGGTACAGCTGCTCTTTGCCCGCCAAGTTGCTCCAGGAAACTCGATCCAAAATAGGACAAGTACTTCCGTGGCGTGCGGGTCCTAAAGCCTAATTCTGCGATAACACGGATCACTCCGAACCTTGGAAGATTGTTCACGCTACTCGTTGGATCGAGTCCTCCGCGAATGGCTACCCGATTGTGCAGAGTGTGCTCGTAACCAGTCTGCAAAGATCTGCTCTCTTCGCTCGTCCGTCACCGCAAAAAAAAAAAAAAAAAGAAAACGCAACAGCACGATAACGACTAACCAGCATATACACACGAGCATCATAACCCCTCGCGTTGCGAATTAACGGCACAAACTTTCCTTCCCATCCGTTGCACGAGCGTGGAACCTGTGTGTATCATATTAGCTTGGCCAGAAAGTTTGTTCGATTTTTGTGGCGATTGTTGTCTCTGCAGTTGGAAGGGTTATTAACACTAAACGTACCAAGCGGAGTCAAACGACCTCTTTCAAAATCCTTGTCGTAGATTCGCGAGCAACAGTTTCGCGAATGAGTTCTCTGTAGCTAAACATAATAGAAATAGAATCCTAAATCGAGAGTCGGAGTATATTTCTCTGTTTAAGAAAAATCGCTGTTTATTTGTGCGTTATAAATCCGAACGAACTTTTTGGCCAATCTAATACTATCTACTGACCGACCACGTTAAGTTGCCGAGTGTCTACAAACTGGAGGGGCAAAGCGATTAGGCAGCTCGCTCCAGCAAATACATAGTAGTAAGATGTTATAAAATCACAGACATGAGAAACTTAAGTAGTTTCGTTCGATCCCTGTAATATTTCACTTTTAAGCCAATGGATTCCAATTGTCACTCGCTCTCATCACTCTTACGTTTCTCTTTGACTTTCTTTGTCGCGCGGTAGACTCTTGATGTGAGACGGCGGCCAATAACAAAAATACGTATACAGTAAAGACTGGTGCGAGAAAATCGGGACCCAAACATTGCAGTTATCCAGTCGAGGTTTTTATTCCGTGTTTACAATTGGCTCGAGTCGAGCGTCGAACGTAGAAAAGGATAGAGAGTGAAAGAGAAAGAGGTCAGCGGAAATAAAGCAGTCGGCAGAAGCGTTATCAATCGGTTAGGATCATATTAGGTTGTCCCAAAAGTTTCTTTCGCTTTCTTAATAAGTAATACGTGCACGATAGTTTATGTTTTTATGTTACATTACTGAATCGTGCACGATTCATTTTGCTCCATTACTGCTACAACATGAATATCTATGAAATTAGATTGTCTGTTTATATAAACACGACCACATCAAATAATCGAGTGCAGCTCGCGAAAGAAACTTTCGAGACAACCTAATATTACACTGCTCGCTCGCAGAGCGTCAAGGAGGAACCCCGTCAGTGGTGAGGATAGTCATGTTGCATTTATCCAGTCAGTCCTGTCTTGCACTTATCCAGTCTTTACTGTATCTCGAGGCAGTGCGGCGAATTTGATTCGACGGCAACTTAACGCGATCGGTCTGTACGTCCTTGTGTGTACTGTACTATCTACGTTCTTGTGTGTTCGGCGTTTGTATTTTTCTACTTTTTAACACTCGGAAACGTTGGCGATGGCGTTCCTTAATCAGCACAGATTGAACGCAATAATCTAATCTCTTGCGATGATAACGCTCCGCGCTAGAAGCTCTCAGATTTCAGTCCCTGAGGAATCGGCCATCTGACAGAGAACATCGTGCGATAATAACACGCAGATTACGATGAAACTTTATGCACGAGTGAAGCAGGGGAAAAAACAGTATCATTATTTTTGATTACGGGCTGATGTTAATACGATAGTAAATAATATTAGTAGAAAGTTTCACAGAAGAATGATGATCGTGTAGAATTTTCTCTTCGTATCATACAAAATAACGGAGATACTTTAGGCATAAATCTTAAGTGACTCGCCCTGTAGGCTGTTAGAAATTTTCTGTTAAATTCAAAACTCAATTCAACTGAGGAGTCCATTCTCCCTCCAGAGCGCGCTAGCGACGCCCATTTCTGCCCACGAGGGCAGCGAACGGGTTAAACGTCGACGTGCTTCGCGAGCACGGTTGGACCAGAACGATAGACATTGCCCATGCACGGGAGGTACAGCTGGACCGCAAAAGGTTAACGCAGCTTGCATCGATCCCCTAGGAAGCGTCCAGGTTCCGAAACAACAGTCAGCTATTATGAAAGTCCAGAAGGGCCAGGAGGGAAGACGTTTCCCGTAAAGTTCGGCAAAACGGTCGTAGGGAAATGCCTGCGAACGAGTTGACGACGAGAGGAAATTGGCTGACCCGGGTGCATGTGTGCGTTGCAGAACAGTCACGATCGGGAGACATGCGCGAGGAGCCTGCGCGCCACCCAAGAGTCACGACCGTCTCCGGGCGCATTCCCACCGGCTGCTCTCTGCGGCGTGCTCCAGCAGCAACAGCAGCAACAACCGTCGCCACAGCAACACCCACAGCAGCAACGAACGAGCTTGGCAACGCAGCAACGTTGCTGCGCTATGAGCCTGGCGCAACGAACCACAGCGACAAGTAGCAACACGCGAGCACACAGACCAGCCTCACTGGACATCGGCACCACGCGACGCTGCCCTCTCAGCTGTACACGCGCGAACACGATATCGGCGTCGTCCCCAATCGCGGCTAACCCTGCCACCCCCTTCTCGGCGCCGGCTGCCTGCCCCAACAGAAGCTTTTTCGACGATTGCACGGGCCCAGCGGACGCCAACTGCACCAATCACATCCAGAACGCGGGGAAGGAGCCACCTGGATTCGAGCTGAACGTTAACGTTGCCTGCAGTCCTGCCGGCAATCGCGGTATGCATTGTACACATTGGCCGCACCAGACATGTCCGATTGGATTATCAGTTCGATGCCACGGCAAGGAATGATTGGTGTGGTCGTAAATAAAAGTATAATAGAACCTCGATGATTGCGGGAAAACGGGGCTGGGTGTTCGTGCAATGATCGAGGTTCGTGCGGTATAACCGAGCTATTTGAGGTTTTAACGAGCCGGTTCTTCGTGGTTGATACTAGCAGAAGCATCCGAATGAAATGCGTGTCCTTTGAATGAGGTACTCCGACGGTTTGCGAGCTAGTTCCTTCGGGGATTACGTGACATACCAATGTCGAGTAGCGTAGAGTAGAGCAGAGTGGACAAAAAGAGACAAGAACAGTGTAGAATAAATTAGATTAGAGTAGGTTAACGCAGCAGATCAGAGTAGATGAGTGGAGACACGAGTAGACTAGAGCACTTTTGTAAATATAAAGTTCATTTTTACGGAATTCTAATTTTGTATCCGAATCGGAATTGTTTCACCTATGCAGTTATTCGAGACACGCGGAAGAAATTTCTCAGTAATTTCTCAGTTGTGTAAAACGTGATTAAAATTCTCGAATAAATTTTATTCCTTACGTGGAAGAAATGTCTGACACTTGAACAATTCGGATGCCATTCTATCGAGAAAATCTGACGAGTTATAGTTCGGTTTTAACAGTGTAAACGGTAGGCGAATAAAGCTTGGAGAAACTGTGCGTCAGGAATGGTAAGGGGCGAATCGTTTCCGCAGATCCGGCGGCGAGTAGTTGCAACATTATAGCAGTATATTTGCGTAGATAAATTTGATACATACACGGCCGTTTGCTTACGCAACGAGCAATTGCGTTGTAGAGTGCATCACGTTCGTACACAAATAAAACAGGTTCCTTCCACGTGCAACGGTTTTTATTTCTGATTGGACTACGCGTCGTGACCTTGTGGCGTATACATCCCGTGAGTCGGCCGATCAGACTGGATATTCCTTTTGCTCGCAAGGGAAATCTGCGATTCAATCTTCAAAGGAGACCTAAATTAAACTGTTTGGACGAAACGTTTCGACCGTAGCCACATGTCCTTTTCAAGAAATATTCGGGGTTCTACTTTAAGGTATGCTACTCTACTCTACGTTCTTCTATTCGACTATATTTTACGGTACTCTATTCTACGCTACTCGACTTGGCACTACTCTACACTAAACTACTCGACTCGATGGTACTCTACTCTACGCTACCCCTACACTAAGCTACTTGACTCGATGCATCTTTACTCTACTCTACTCTATTACTATTCTACTCTACTCTACTCTACTCTACTCTACTCTATTTTACTCTATTCTATTTTACTCTATTCTATTCTATGTTACGCAATACCAGTGTGTCAGATAGGTCGGATACTGGCAAAACATCGGAGTATCTTATATTCAAAAGACACGATTTACATCTGAAACATGTAATAGCTAAAGGAGCACTCTGTATATACACGGTGGAAGATAATAGGCGTTTACCGAATACTGTAACCTAACTGCCTAAACGCATATATTTATCGATTGGCTGCAAAGAGCTAAAGGGCTCTTATCATGCACGAGAAATAAACAAAATTTTGTCTTCCGAGGATACGATAATAGCTCCTTAACACTAAACCTATCGACGTTCATTTGTAACTATTTCTACCGCGATAGGACGTATCGTAACTGTCTTAAAGACAGTTTTGAATAATCCGTGAGTCGATTGTATACATATAATTCATATACTACATATAAAAACGATATAGAAATGTATGAAAACAGTCATTTAACCGGTGGTAGTAGGTTTAGTGTTAACTTCCAATTTACATTTCCCTGTAAAGACACTTAAAAATCCAAGTTCATCGCGATAGGACACCAGAAGATGTAACAGATAGCTGCACCTGAAAACGTTCCTCTAGAGTTCTACGGCACTTGATTTAATCTAATCTGATTTCACTGAATACCTGCAGATTTTCGAACGGTGCCGACGATTGGCGGCGTCTGTAAACGAAGCGAATTGATCATCGATCCGCGGTCACATTACGCGGAGCCGGTGGTGAACGTGGAAAACACGGGTCCGCAGATCGATCACACACGAAGCTACACGTCGGTCAGCCTGACGCTGAGGCCGCCGTCCTCGGAGCCTCAACCTCCGATCGACATCAGATCGCAGGGCTCGAGTCTGACCTACTCGAGCTCCTCCCTCGATCCTCGGGGTTTTCAGAGTCGCTTGCAGATCAGCATCGGCGCAGGAGCCGTTGGCAGCGTGGCCGCTGCGAGGATCAGACCGCCCATGGGCTCCAGCAGGCCAAACAGCTTGATACCACCAGTTCAAACCGGTCCTCAGAGGCCACCAGGTCTGTATCGCTCGGTTCCCATATTTTCACCTCTACACAGAGGTTACAACTTACAAGAGCTAAATGCAGGATTAGTCACCTAAGATTTGTATCTGAAATACCTCAGTTGCTTTTAGTGATACGAAGATATGTATCCAGAGGGAAATGTTTGGTTTCAAGGGGGACATTCTATGACAAACAAAAACATTATCTCAAGGTCATATTTTCATGAATGAAGCATTTCAAGGCCATCGATGTTTTTTTGAATGGAATGGGTTCATCCTTTTCAATATCGTAATCTTATAGCTGTTGAAAAGACGAATTCAAACATATATAATATATTGACCTTCGGATGACCTTGTGATTTAAACCCGCTTAATTTTTTTCTATCAATAGAAAACAATTATGTTCCGCGTACGAGGAACGGAGATATTTTAGGTACAAGTCTTGGGTGACTCACCCTGTAAATAGATTCAGTTCATTGTAATTTAAATCTGCAAATCATTGTTTCTACAGGTAACTACCAGCGACTGAGCTGGTTATTAATTCGTTGGACCTTGATGCGTTGATAGCAATGTCGATTCCTAAGTTGTTTATATATTCTTTTAGAACGTGTAAAGTGGTACTTGAAATGACAAAGATATTTTTTATCTCCAATTTACGAGTGATAGCAATTGCAACGTCTTCAACTTTTGTTCGAGTTCGGCAATCATGACAAAAAGTTTCCAAAGGGTTTATTGTTTTGAAACTTTATTTTTAGGTGAAACTTTTCGCAGTATTATTTTCGAGCTCCAGGAGCTTTCCGTCATGCTCGATGGATAGCAAAGGGGATCCATTGTCTAAAAGTATTTTTTTAGAAAATTTACCATTTAACATTTCCTAAGAATATTTTCTTAGATAAGGCGCTTATGAACAAAGATTGCCGTCTCCCAGTCGCCTCTCGAGTGCAAAGGATCAATCTAATCTAAACGTATGACATTCAGGTCTTCCAGCAGGACCACCTAGCCAGTTGCCGAGGCCCACGACGACTATGAGCGCTCCAACCACACCTTCTGTACCATCGACAACGAACATCGTTCCTACCAACAGCCTTCCAACGACACCGTCAGGACCGACGACGACCTCGCCACCCTCTAGTCCCGTTGGCGAACGAATACAGCCCAATTCCGATCAGAATCGATCGCCGTTGAATCAAGGTATCTCACCCCCTACCCCACGCGGGTTTCTACCGAAATAACTTTCGGTTAGGCTATTTTTATTATCCGCTATATTTGCTCCGATACCGAGTGAGCCGACCGTCTTTGTGTTCCTCGTTGACTCGCGTTACATAGCAAATCGTACACGTATAATTACCTGCGGATCTACCAGTCAGTCCGTCGCACGTACTACACCCACGCGCGTAACACTGAGAACGATATTTACGCATTCCTGACCCCACGCTCCGTCTATACATAGCCAGACTCGCCGTTACTCTACGCGGACCACCTGATCCGCTTTTCCTTCTCACGAGTCGGCTCGATGTTGACCACGCGTTTCCTGAACGCTACGATTTAGTCCAAGTCATCGTACACTCAAATATGTACACATTACCTATTCAAATTATACGAACATTTCGATTTTTGACATAAACATGTTCCCCAACGTCTAAACATTCATATACTTTCAAGTATTATTACAAGAAATTATATGCTTTATAAATTACATTATTTAATACGTCGTGATTCCTGTTTGCACGTTCTGTAGATAAATGGCACCGAGTGCAAAGGGTTTAAAAGCCATTCTTGTATTTCTGTTTCTTGTTTTTTTTTTAAATAGAACTATGTCTTTTTATTTAGATAGATGTGTAGTCAGTTCCGAGAGTCATTCTTTGACCAATAACACTTTAATTTCTTATTTTCATAGTGGCGGAGCACCAAAGGAAATTGGTAGCTGAGCAGTTAGCCAGAAAGGAAAGACTCGCCAGGGAACTGAGGGCCGAGAAAGGACGACTCGAAGCAATGAAGAAAGAACTGCAGTCTCTCACAAGGCCATACGATTCCATGCCGCCACAGGTACTTACAGGACCATCGTAGTGATACATTTCTTTAAAAAGTAACAAGTTTCTTTTAAAAACATCTTTAAAAACCTCGGCATATGTTACTCTGCAATGTATTCGATGTGATGTGGAATTACCGAATTACCAGACCTACCAGTAAGGCCTACTTAACCAATGCTAATTTTTGCAGGAGCTGAAGCTGAAGCTGAGAAGCGAAATTTATCAGCTGCAGCTCGAGTGTGACAGACTAGCAGACGAAGTGGATCAGTGGTCGGACCCAAGAGGTAAGAATTTGATGACGATTTCGATAATATCGGGTACTTTCCAAATTGCTTAACAAATCTCGACACATATGTACACAGAAATACACAAAGTGTGTAGCGTTGTACATGGCTCAATTGGAACAAAGTTTTTCCACAAAACTTCTATCGTTCTATTTTTTCGTAGTACCGCTGGGTGAAACGAATGAAGAGTTTTATCAGGACATTTACACCGGTCAGCCTCTACCACCGGTACCTGGCAGTTTTAATCCACCGCCTTTGCCAAGTCAACCTCCTGCCTGGCGATCGGAGCTGACCGGTAACAACGTCGACAGAGATGAACGAGATGGTCCCTCTTGGGTCTGTAGAATGTGTACATTTGGTAATCATCCGTTGATGAACAAATGCGAACAATGCGACATGCCGAGACTGTTGGATCATGGAAACACAGGTACGGCTACGGAGAAATCGATAGGGGAACTTTCAACCTCGTTAAAACGCTTCGTCGTCGCTCCACCGCCCCCTCCACCACCGGAATGATAGACTGACGTGTGTGCCTTAACAGCATGTGTTTTTTTACGTGATACTTTTGGCGAATTGACTGACTTTTACGCTTCGAATACTGTGACGGAAGTGCACAACCAAAGGTGATATTTGTTAATTACTAATTAGAATACTTGCTCATGAAAATTGTATACGTGTCCATTTACGGTAGCCGCAAATGAAGTGGAATGGCATAATACGAATAAAATAATTCTTTTGGGTTGTCCAGAAAGTTCGTGTCAATTTTTAAGAAAAACTCAAAGGCACATTTGAATGTTGACATGTATTTTCCAGACAACCCAATATAACGTACTTAATGTTAAAAGTAATAGCTGGTTCTGTGATTTTTTAATTAATTTACTTGAAAATAATGTAGATTTAAACTTAGTATAGGCGCATGTCTAATGTGTTGGTGTACTATAATTTACTTGAATATTATTAATAGTTTGGTATCGCCGTATTGTGTTGTCTGTTTGAGTGAGTATTGCAACGAGTTGATTGTGAACCGTATTTTTTATACAAATTGGTAAGTTGTAATATTATTTAAATGTTTAATATCGTCTGCAACTTTTAAAGAAGATTCTTAGTCTTTTTACGTTTATCGCATAATTAAGAGAAAAACTAATTTTGCACAATTCTTAATCCTAAATAATGACAATAAGAGGAGCTCGATAATAAATTCCTTGTCAAGTATAAATTTGACAAAAGAAAACATTTGGTCAAAAACTAGCTTCAGTTCAGATGTAAATATATTTTTAATGTTTTGATTTGGATTTATTCTTTAGAGTATAGTGATTAAAAATTATCGATACTATAGACACTGAAAATGTCACGTACTATCAATCGCAAAAGTAAGTATGGCAAATTTGTATGTCATTTTACAGGCGAGACACAAGATATTCATATACGAGTTACACATCATCACAACTTTTCGCCAAATCGTGAGTATACCTTGAAATACTATTGTCGATATGAAAGTCTTATAAGAAATGAAAATACAAAGTTGTACGTGAACGATATAAAAAGAGGCTATTTTTTTCCAGGAACAGTACATAGTTGGGTGGTATGACATGAACTGCATTAGAAACTGTATATAAAATTATCGTTTAAATTAAATAAAAAAAATTGTTGTAGGAAATCAACAGATCGCCAGAGGAGAACACAGAAATTTATTATCTTAATTCTATTTAATTTGTTTTTTATTTACGATAGCGTATGTCATGTGAAATTAATATATAATTTGATATATAATTTGACTTTTTCGATACACGAATATGGGAAAATTGGTAAACGTGGCGCTGTAAAATATACCATTTGCACTTCTAGTTACTAAACAGTCAACGACTTAACTATTCTGACTTCTATTTGTATGAGCTTTGAAATACTATTTAAAATACAAATTATTTGTAGTAAGTCCATTAGTGTAACATTCTCCCATTATATAGCTGTACCCCTTTCCAAGTTTAGTTTCGTTTCCCGTGTGTATTCTCCATAGAATCTCTCTAATTTCTGGTTGAACTTTGCATTACGTTCGTTGATATAATCAATATCGGCATCATCATTGTGCATCCTTCTCCTACTATACTTATCCCTCTTTGCAATTCTGGAAAAATTAAAGAACGGTAGAACACGAATACTACGATTAATGCGAGTATATCATAATCAAATACTAACTGTTTCTCCAAATCTTCAACCATCTTATCGACAGCCTCCTTTTTATCCTCGTGCAATCCATGTAGTATGGTATTTCTGTCCCCATAAAAAGCTGGGCCCAATTTGTCTCTAGCTGCATCATAGGACTCCATATTTGGTTTGATATTTTTCACCAGCCTATTGTATTGTCGTATAGCTGCTTGTTCGTAGTCTGAAAAGCCTGGATCAGGATTTTTTCTATTTTTTTTCTTCCTTGCTATACGTTCTGCTTCTGTTGCCTCTATGTGAAGTAACTTTGTTCTTTCGTAATCTTCTCCCTGTAAAATACATAATAAATAACAAAAAGATTCCATTCCATTTTGATGTACTACTTATGAATTATACGTTATGCTGTTTACTTTTTCTTGAGCTTCTTTCCTTGCAGCTTCATCTTGTATGATCCATTCTGCTTGTCTTTTACGGGATTCCCAATTCGAAGGGAGTTTATTTCTCTTGTCCTCTTCTACAACCTCCTTATGATTTTGTTGCCTAGCCTCGTTCTATGAAACAAACAGTCTCTAAAAAATACTTTCTTCAAATAGAACTTTTTAAGAAAATAGAAGAGATACGAATATCAAAAATAAATTTGACTGAGAGATGACTCTCAGTCGTATCTTAATGTAATGCATTAATTCAAGACATGACTATCAGTTACATCCTAATGTAATGCAGTAACTCGAGAGGTTATTCAAAGTCAATCTAAGATTAGCATTCGTGGCAATAGAATGCTAACAGAACATCTCGAGTTGCTGGTAGATACCAGAACAAAAGGCCTCAAGTACAAAGGATTAAATCTTCTTGAAGTGCCAAAGGTTTTTTGGCCAAATTAAGGTTAATTAAAGGTAAGTTCATTGGAAATTATATAATGATAGTTTACACACTCTTGAACACAGTCATAAGTGATTAAACTGTAGTAACAAAACTCTTAAAAAAAAAAATACAAAATTTAAAGCATAATTGTAATGGTAATATTTCGACATTTTCATACTCACTCTCTTAGCGTGAAGATCTCGTAAACGTTTCATTCTTTCCGCCTGCTTTTCTTTGAATGACTTTTCAGTAGCAGTCGAAGTTTCGTTCTCCATCGTGAAAATAGGCTTCTAACAACTGGATAATATTCTTCAAAACGGATTATTGACACTTTTCAATAGGTTAAGTCGCAATTGTCAAGATCAACCAGGCACCCACCAAGAAGGGTAAGCATGCAGGACCGAAATACCGAAAAATGTGGCGCCGTGTGAACCGTCCAAGTTTGTCGTTAATAGTTCCCACTTTGCGCAGCTAGATGGCGCCACATTTTTCGGTATTTTTATTTATTTAAAAAATTTAATATCAGTTAATAAATAGTGTTCAAA